AGGTAACGTTCAATCCGGACTGGCGCAGCGAGGAGATTGTGTTGGGAAGTGAGGATGGTGGTCGGCACCTGTTGGCGAAGCTATAGCATGAGCGCATCTCGTCGTTGAAAATTACTGTCTGTGCATGTGCGTTGTGTTGACTTCGCTACTCCTGTGGTTTTGGTGCGGACACCTGTCAGATGTTAATGTGGACGAAATTGAAACTCGGGGTAGCGTGAAACAAAGTCTCCTAATGTATGCGATTACCCCTTTATGCTTCCGGCACCGGTGAGAAAACTTCGCAATGTTCAAGACACAAGCGCATTGGCACGTCATAGTAGAGGCGAGCTGTCGAGAGACTTGGGTGAATACTCTGCAATTCATAGTGGTTTCCAAACCTTAAATTCGCGGAGCGGTCCAGTCAATCTTACTAGTCGCCCGTTGGAAGAGGGCCGATTACTGATTGCTGTCAACGCCCAATGACAAGTTGATGTCATGGTTTTAGGCCTCCGAACGCTGGAGCCGTTGGAAATGACATGCCATCTTTCCCTGCTAGACGACCGTTGAAACATTGGCATCGCGTGTTCGCGATGATCGGGTGCGTATCGGGAGTTGTTGGTCGGCGTATTTGAGGCGCTCCGAAAGTAGGCGGCCTGCATCGACCTTGCAGACTAATACTGGAGTCCAGAATAGATTAGGGGATAGATACACCAGAAGGAGTAAGAATCTCGACACTAAGAAGTCTGAATCTTATCTGGCTGTGCCTCGAAACATGCATGGAGTTGAACGCCTCGTCTGGTGTTGCAGCATCGTCGCAGTCGGCAAGCGGGAGGCCGCTGAGCGCCAAGACACCACTAAGTCCTGAGTCAGCAACGAGAGATGCCTGTCGCTTGTGACGCAGTTATGCATCCTACGGCACATCAACCCACTATGCAGCACCGTTTTCCCGAGCACCGGGCCTGACCCCATGCCCTTCGATCTCTGCCACTCAACCTTTATGGTCCATCTTCCGCCAGTCACCGGGCGCTCCATTCCAAGCTCGTAAAAGCGTGGCCTGGGTTTCAGCCTGATCGCCGCTACGCCTTTTCTGGCTCAGGACCCTTCGGATGACCACGCAGCACATTCGCGGACCGGAGAGGAGACATAGTTATTAGACTTGACGTTCTTTGTTCTGTGCAATCGGATGCCCGCGCTAGTGTTTGCTTCGTAGGAACCTTACCTGAGCCTGAACAGCAGCGACTGCGGAGCTTGCCGCCCTTTCGTCTTACCGCCTCATCGCCTCCAGAGCATAAGCATGTCCTATCGTGGCCGACCCAGTAAGGGATGCGAGGCTTGCAGAGCCCGTAAAGTCAAGGTACGCATCTTTTTCTGTCTACTTCTGCGAATTGCCCTGCTCTTCATGCTGCACCACGTGCCGGGCAACGCCGGTCATACGGACAAGGCTGATGCCAGAGTAGTGCGATGAGGGTAGACCCGCTTGCAGTCGATGTAGCAAGGCGGGTCATGAATGCAAGTATCGAGACCAAGCCGACATCCTCTTTCGGAACCAAACGGCATCGGCTGCGCAAAGAGCAGAAGAGTCATGGCGGAAGCGATCAAAGTCAAACCAACGTGCTACCGTTGCCGAAAGTAGCAACGCCTACAGCAACACCTATAATAACACCTATATCAAAACGCCACCAAGCGACGAGTCAACACCACCCCATCTGGATGACACGCGCTCTTCCAGTGGTAGTGTACATTCTCCTGGTGGCTCTGTGGATGACCCGGCTCAAGAATCATCAAGCGTTGCGTCCGCAACCATCGATCTAAGTCGGCTGACTATCACTCCGTCGCTCAATCCGGACTTTCGTAGAAGAGCTTTTGAGCGCTTTGTGTACGACTTTGTGCTGCCCGACTCGCCGAACCGACCAGCCGACCAACCAGATGAAGCCCTGTGGACATTTATCCCGCTCTTGTATCAAGACGCCCCGGAGAACTCATTGATCGCGACAGCGGTTGACGCAGTATCTTACGTCAACTTCGCCAATCGTTATAATGATTCTCATGCGCAGGCACTAGGTGAGGAATGCGTAGGGAGGGCCCTGCCGATGTTGACAAAGGCAATCGCGGACAAGAAGCAGGCAGCCACGAATGTTGCGCTTTGCTCAGTACATCTGATGGGCATCTACGAGGTACGTCCGTTCGGTACAGCTTAATGGTACGCGTAATTCTAACATGATGAACAGAATCTTACCAGCGTGCAGCGGAAAGGCACCTTTTTGGCTCACAACCAAGGCGCAAATGCTATGCTTCAATTGCGGACAGTTGAGGAGTTCTACAGCGACATTATATCAGCCAGACTTTACGAAGTCATCTATGCACATCTGGTAATCGCCGTCACAGATGAACACCTTTTGTCCGCCTATGGCTAACCTTGCGACAGCTATTAGGCAACTTACAGGCAGCAAGACGCCCGCAAATTCCTACGAGAGATGTGGTCAAAGTAGACGAATTACTTCCAAGTCTATACAAGAACTCCAACGCCTTTGTCATTCGTCTAATATGGCGAGCGGCAATGCTACATGCCAGATGGCACGAAACCAAGCAAAGTCAAAACCCACCAACCAACCGCATGGCCTTGCAAGAACTTTTACAGAGCGCGCTCGAACTAGAAAGCGACTACGAAGCTTGGGAGGCAAACGTCACACCGGCATGGAACTATCACATGACACCAAACACACCGGAGGCTCGGTCCACCTACGACACCAAGTTGCAAAAGCTTTTCTTGGGTTGTCCGGGCGCGCCGGAAGAGATTCACATTTACCCGAGCTTGAAGCGCGTCTGGATCTGGGGCTTCTACCGTACGAGCCGCATACTTGTTCTACGTGATCTGCTCGAGATGTTGAATTGGATGTTGAGGTTCCGGGACCCTTGCCTATCTTTCCGTCCTCAAGAAGCCCCGGGTCAGTCTATGCCTACTGCTCTGAGTAATGCAAATCTCCGCATGCATCACTCGGTCGCTACCGCCCGCCTAGTCGAGGTCATCGAGAAGAACTGTTCTTCCATACTTGGCAGCTTTACTGTACCGATAGATACCAAATCTGCCACCGACATATGTGGTATGCGGGGCTATATCTGCATATGGCCCCTGGGTACGATGGATTCAGTACTCAGCTCAGGTCTTGTGCCGGACAGCAATGCAGGCAAGCATCCGCACAGCGCTACTCATCTACCAACACCACCACCAGTCCATTCGCAACCACATCTGGCCACATCCACTTCCAACGCGTCTTCCTCAAGTGAGCCGGCGACGGCCCTGGAATCCTACGAAGCAGCACCGCCATTCTCCGAGCTCCGAAGCATTCGCTCCAAGTCGGAAAGCGACCAATCTCCTGGCGCGAGTCCGCCATCGAACACGCCGGTCTTGGACCAAAACGCAAAGAAGAATCACATCTTCGACCCCAACCCTGCACATCCGTACGATCACCCGCTAGATTTGCCTCATCTGGACCATGGAGTTGAGCCTAGGAGAATAGACATTGCAGCCCGACGGGAATGGATAAACCGGCTGATGTACTACATGGCCACAGAACTGGGACTTAAGAAGGCGCTCTGGTGCCCAGTCATGCAAGGCTACATGCCTACCGTGAAACCCATGGTTGATAAGATACTCAGCCAAGAAAGACGGTTCTAAAAACTCGAACTACGCATTTGGCAACGGAGTATAAGCAACAAGGGCATCTCGTTGGCGTTTTTGAGATTATGTCTTTTGCATTTACGAAGGGAAATATGGGGTTGGATGCACGATTTGGTAACATATTTGTTCACGTACATATATTTCGGTTCGAAGCTGTTTGGATATATACGAAAGTTATGGCTTGTACTTTGGATTATGAGGGTGCTGTCTAGTGAAATGGAGTAAATCGTGAGCTGACTCGGTTAGAATAATCGTCCACGACGACAGCCTTAGGGTCCTGACATTCACGCTTTCGCTTTTGTATCAGTCAGCGACTCATTTCAGCTGCAAATCCGACCCAGAACTCTCACACTCAACGATCAACCGATTTCCACCAGACAAAGCCCTAAGCTCGAGTGCACGCATACACTATGGACCACTTCGCTACTTTACCTGTCGTCCCCGATGGGGCCATCGACGAGCGAGATCTCATGCAAGTCCTGTCTTTTCAACTCTCGTTGCAAAAATTCGATGGCATTACTGACGTGTATATAGCACAGAAGCAAATACCAAGAACTCGCCTTTGCTGCGGCTTCCAGGCGAGTTGCGCAACAGGATCTACGAATACGCTCTCGCCGGCACTTTCATCAAACCGAACCTCCGACGTCAACCTATGTCAAAAAAAGATCGAAGGCGCCCAGCTCGGCGTATCTCGCGTACCGTCTCACTCATTCGAACATGTCGTCAGACCCGGTCCGAGGCTGAGCTTCTCATGTTCTCGCACACAACGTTTAGTATCAATTACCCAGAGATTCATGATTTTCTGGAGCATATTGGGCTTGGAAAGCGAGAACTGATTACATCGATATCGATGATGTTTTCCACGCTTGAGGCACTTGGTCAACACGAGGGGCAATGGTATAAGCTTCCACGACTGAAATACATTTACACAACACTGCCTCTTAATTGCTGCCCGTCACGCTTGCTGAGGTTTCGAGGCTTTGCGACACTAGTAGAGAAGGGCTTGGGAGGTGGAGAGGTCATTTTCCTTCCGTATCCGCCGTTTGGTTCGCGTGGTAAATGGTAGTCAGATGGTAGAGCGGTAGTATATTTGGTAGAAGCCAAGATGAATACTCGAGTCTTGAAGCAGTCTTGCTCCGCTCTCACTTCACCTCGTCCCCTGCCGCGGCCTCATGTAGTTAGCGCCAAATCGCAGTCACCATCACCGTTTGTCCTCATGCAGACCTTGTACTAGCGTCGCGGCCAACATTGACTGACAGCTCCACAACCAACCACTCGCGATCTCGCTCTCATACCTGACATTGAAACACAAAACCGCCGTCGCACCGCCGACACACTGAAGATGCTTCGCCTCTCCGACTTAGGTTCCATGAAACCTCGCGTCTTACCCGCCGACCAAAACGACGATCGCGACGAAGACCTCCGTGACGTCGACGACGTCTTCAACAACGACTACAACGTACAAAGCAACAACAACCCCATCTTACCACAGAAGCAAAACAGAGACAAAATGTAAACCCACCACTCCCCACCCACACCCTCAATCCTAACACCCCCCAGCACCCACACCAACCAAACCCACTCACCTCTCCTCCACCTCCCCGCCGAACTCCGCAACAAGATCTACAAATTCGTCTTCTTAAACACCACCATCAATGTCAACAAGCTCCTCATCAAAAAAGACGTGCTCGGCCGCTACCCCAGCGTCCGCGCCATCCTCTACACCTGCCGCCAGATCTACATCGAAGCCAGCGCCTTATCCTTCACGCTCTGCACATTTGTACCTAGCTACTTCGCGCTAAGATTCTTTGCGTCGTCGAATCTGCCTGCAAGTGGGTTTGGGAGGGTTGAGAGGCTTTGGTTGACAAGGGGGAATGGGCGGGCTATCATCGAGGGACAGCATGAAATGAAGGGTGCATATCTGAAGGAATGGTTTGCTTCACTAAAGCTATTGGAGATAGAAGTTTGGCGCCTAAAGGTCAATTTGACAGATGCGCAGGCAAGAGAGAAGGTGAGGGATGCGTTTGGGCTGCCGGATCTGCATGTTGTGGGGAGGCGCGTGGGTGGGGATGGGGTGGTTATTGTTTAATGGTTTGGACGGGATGGGATTTCAGTGTATGACGGATGATCGGAATTGAGCTTGAAACTTCATGGCTGAATGGCTGTATGTCATGTTTCCAAAGGGGTTCTTGAGCTTTTGAGTAGAGTCGCGTCCGTCGGCGTTTAACCCCGCGCTAACATCTAATCCCCGACCCCACAAGTCTTGCTTACATAACGCACTCGCCCTCTTCCATCACCAAACCGCCTTCCAGAGTCCAGATTTCCAGCCTCATCGCTCATTCCCCCATCCGCATTCGCATTAGCGCTGCAATACCTCCAGCTAATCACCCCGGTCCCAATCCCATACCACCACTCTCGTGTACCCAGGACTTCAACACTGGCTGCAATTGTTGTGTTAAGAAAGAGCGAGGAACCACACACACCACACGCCACACATCCCCACGAAAATGGATATCCGCGTCCTACGCCCATCGGACATTCCGCATGTCCAGCTTGCGAATATTACGAATTTGCCTGAGAACTACTTTTGCAAGTATTACTTGTACCATGCGATGAGTTGGCCGCAGTTGAGCTATGTGGCTGTTGATGTAAGTTTCTTGTGTTTATGTTTGTTTTTGTATTTGGGGAAGACCTGGGAAATGGTGTAAAGAGGAAGGATTAGATGATGAGAATTGCAGTTGTTCGCGAGTGCTGCGCTTGGCTTATTTATGAAATAATGGTTGAGCAACGGGGAGTCGTTTACGTGGAACACGTGACGATCTGCTGTTACTTGTCCTTTCGATATTGGATCACGTATTGATACGTTTTGCACGTTACTAATACCTCTCAGGTATCCCGCCCGCCCAAAACCCCCTACGACCCCCCAAAGATCGTAGGCTACGTCCTCGCCAAGATGGAGGAAGAGCCCACCGACGGTGTCCAACATGGCCACATAACCTCTCTCTCCGTAATGCGGACCCATCGCCGCCTCGGTCTCGCCGAAAAACTGATGCGCCAATCCCAACGCGCCATGGCCGAGACCTTCAACGCGCACTACGTCTCCCTGCACGTCCGCGTCTCCAACAACGCAGCCCTGCATCTCTACCGCGAAACCCTCGGTTTCACCGTCGACAAGATCGAAGCGAAATACTATGCTGATGGTGAGGATGCGTATAGTATGAGGATCGAGCTGGCGGAGCTGAAGGAGCAGTTGAGGGATGAGGAGGAGGAGATTTTTGGGAGTGAGGGCGTGGATGAGGGGGATGCCGTGGGGAGTGAGGGGGTTAAGGTATGTTTATCTGGTAGGAAGGGGGGATGTGTGCTGACAATTGATACAGGAGAAGAAGCCCGCGAAGAAGACAAAGGTCAAGGTGGGTAGGGGGAAGGGTGTTGTGGATCTTGTGGAGAAGAATGAAGCGGCTGCTGCTTAGGAGGCGGGGGTTGCCATTGCTGAGATTTATCAGGGGATACGTCTGGGGATGTGGAGGGGATAAGGGAGGATGTTGAACGGCTCGCACTGGGATTGAGAAGAATGCGGTTGTGTTGGCATTAGTTTATTGGAAGCACATTCGTTGTGCTGTAGAAGAGGGTTCTTACGCTTGCCAGCGTATATCCCTGTCTGGCCTACTCATGCTATGCTATACCATGCCATATGCTACCGTATATTCTAAATTTCCAACTCCATCTCCATGCAAGAAGGAAGTAGCCAACCAAAAGAAGAAGAAAGAAGAAAGGAAAACGCCCATCCGTGTACCTTGTTGGATATCATAAAGTGCCCAGATCATAATGCCCGCCACATAAATCATCATCTTCCCCACCTCCTACATCAACCCTCCCAAAACAACCTTGCCCACACCCCCAACCTCACTCTTGAGCCCCGCTCGACAACTATCCTCAAACTCGCGCACAACTCCCGCAAGAATAATCTTCCTCACCCGCGCATCCGCCTTGTTGAACAAATCACCCACCAAACTGGGTACGCCACCCCCCGCACTCGCCACACTTTCAGGCGTACTGAGCATACTAAGTATCTTGGTGTAGCAATCAATCAAGACATCGCACAGCGTAGCAAACGTGCTGAAGAAATCGGGGTCGAAAGGCAGACTCGGGGTCTGGAGATGCGTGTAGCTTTCATTCGGAAGCAAGGAATCGTCTGTTGTAGGCGGGGAGTCGAAGCCGCCACCCATGCCACCACTCGTTTCCGAACCAGTGAAACTGTTGCTTGGAGTGAGGAGCGGGAAATCGCCATTTGCGCTGCTGGACCGCCGGCCTTTACTGCCCATTGACATGCCCATTCCCATTCCCATGCCCATGTTTGCGCGCTTGAACATCTGGGGGAGGCGGGCGCGGGAGAGGGACGATGGGGTGGAGCCGTCGGCCGGGTGGATGGATTGGTATTGTTCGAATTCTAGGAGCAGGGCGTTGAGGGCTTTGAGGTAGTCGGACGGGGAGTTGGCGTTTAGGTCGAGGATGGTGGGGAGGGAGAAGCCGAGGAGGAGGTAGTGGGTGGCGCGCCGGGCTTGGTTGCGCGTTGTGAAGGAGGGGAGGCGCGTGAGGTCTGTTTTGGAGAAGAGGAGCGTGTTGAACCAGTAGATGCGGCCTTCGTGGCTGGGGGGTGTTAGTTGTAGTGACAATGTAGGAGGAGAGGACTTACGCCTTCCGCAGGTAGTCGAGGGTGGATATGCGCTTGGAGGCGAGCTCGTGGATGTGCTGGAAGACGAGGTTGGGGTTGGAGCCGTTGGGGACGGGGATGGGCGCGGCAGGTGCTAATGTGCGGTTGGACTGCTGGTTTGCCTGGAGGATCTCCTTCTGGGAGGGCGGATGCCGCAGCGGGATGGGGACAGCCATGTTGCCGAAGGGAGTCTTGGGCTTGTCGACGGCGCTGAGGGGGCTCTTCTCGTAGACCTGGGCCTGGGGTTGTTGGACACTGCCACCCTCGGTCTTGACGTTCTCGCTGCTTTTTTGCTTGCTGCGCGAAAAGGTGGATATGGAGAGGGCGGGCCGCGAGGCATTCGTCACACTGGCAGGCACGGGGGCCTTCTCGGGGGAGTAGGTGAGGGCCAGGGTGGCCGAGGGGGTCCTCTTATGCGAGGACGAGGCCGACGCGTTGGTGCGAAGCGAGGCGGACCGTGACCTCCGCAGCGTGGACCCGAGATCGGTGACGGACGAGGCGATGCTGTGCCTGCTGCTGGCGTGCCTGCGTCGTGGTGGCGTCGCTGCGAGTCGGGCGGGAAACTCGTATTGGTCGAGTTGGAGAGGGGGTGTCTTTAGCCCGGGGTTGGCCGCGGGGGTGATGTTGAGTTGGGGCGGCGCGAGGGTCGAGTTTGTTTGCTTGTGTCCTTGTCCCTTGGTCTTGCCGCCGAAAAACGAGGGGCGGCGGGAGAAGAGGCCCTGGCTGGAGTTGTCGGCCATGCTGGTAGCCCATGTGCTTTCCCAGAGGTGTGGGGCTACCGAGCGATCAGGGGCTGTTTCACCACGGACCCTGATGACATTGCCGCATTGCTATACCTACTTGTAAATATACTATGGTCTCTTCGTTAGAATGTAGGTGAGAAGACACGCAGACGGGACTGCACGCTATAAGGTAGATACTGGCGCGCAAAACGAAAACGTGTTTCGACTCGCGGCTACAGCTGATACCGTGAGAACCTATCCCGACGCAGGAACAAGCCGCCCGAGGCCCATCCCTGCCCACCGCCTCTGCCCCTGTCGCCTACTTTGCCATAGCTTCACTGACTATGCCATTTGCCCACGTGCGGCTATCAGCACGTTAGGCTGAATCCAGAGTGGCAGGTGCTGTTTCCAAGCTCCAAGCTTCCAAGCTTTCCAGTCCCGCGGTTCAGACTCGACACCGTCCGACTCTCCCAGACACACCATTACTACCAAGTACCGCTGTACTGTTGTGTGTTGCTGCCAGCCCCGCCAACTACCCCACGTCACGATGCAGCGCCGACAGAGCGCACGAGTACACACCACCCACCCACGCCCAGGCTGCGCAAACAACTGACGAAACACAGGGAGAGTGGATTCCCTCAGAGGGACAGTGGCCCGTGGATCCTCAGGAAGACGTCGAGGTTTCGGACGAGCGCATATGGGTCGATGGTTGTTTCGACTTTGCTCACCACGGTATGCCGGCTGCCGGAGTTGAGGTATTCAGCGCTTACAGAGACAGGCCATGCGGGCGCCATGCTGCAGGCGCGCCAGCTGGGCAACGAGCTGTTCGTTGGTGTGCACTCGGATGAGTCCATCATGGAGAACAAGGGCCCGACGGTGATGCGCCTCGACGAACGGTGCGCACTGCCATGACGAATGCGCCGCCTTGAAAGCTAATCATTTCAGTGTCGCCGCCGTCGAAGCCTGCCGATGGGCTACCAAAGCCGTCCCGAGGGCGCCCTACGTAACCTCGCTACCCTGGATCACCCACTACGGCTGCCAATACGTCGTCCACGGCGATGACATCACCTCCGACAGTGACGGAAAGGACTGCTACCGCTATGTCAAGGCAGCGGGAAGGTTCAAGGTGGTTAAGCGCACACCTGGCATCTCGACGACCGACCTCGTGGGCCGCATGCTGCTGTGCACCAAGTCGCACTTTATACCATCGCTGGAGAAGAGGCTGTCCGGAGACGAGGGCCCGGGTGACGAGAAGGAGCGGTTAAAGACGGGAGAGGAGATGCTTCAGCGCATCAAGGACTACGCGACCGACGCCTCAGGTCGCGCGCCCGGCTGCGACGTGTGGTACTGGCATGCTTCGCGACCCGTCAAGCTACGGAGGACAACCACCAGCAATACTGTAACCTCGCCAACATCGCCCACTGCGCCGCGCCCCGGCACCGTCCGCCAGGCCTCGACCGCCTCAGCACTCGGACCCGTCAAGGAAGAAAAGGGCAAGTTCCACGAGTTGGTCAAGGGCAAGGGTGTCAAGCCCGGCCAAAAGGTCATCTATGTCGATGGAGGCTGGGATCTGTTCTCCTCGGGTCATATCGAGTTCCTCCGCCTCGTCACACAGTCCGAAGAAGAAGCCGCCAAGGAGGGCGGCTGGTACACCGACGAAGCAAAGGCAGCGCGCATAGAAAAGTCCGGCGAGGACTACGGCCCCATCTTCCTCATCGCCGGCATCCACGACGACGAAGTCATCAACCACTGGAAAGGCATCAACTACCCCATCATGAACATCTTCGAGCGCGGCCTCTGCGTCCTGCAGTGCAAAGTACGTTCCCTCCTCCCTTCCCCATATACACCCACTAACCCACCCACCCAGTACGTCCACGCCGCCATCTTCGGCGCCCCCTTCTCCCTCAGCAAAGCCTTCCTGCACACGCTCCCCTACGCCCAACCCCTCACCGTCTACCACGGCAAAACCACCTTCATGCCCCTCGCCTTCGACCCCTACGCCGTCCCCAAGGCCCTCAATATATACCGCGAAATCGCTAACCACGACTTCCAAAACGTAAACGCCGCGGAGATTGTAGCAAGGATTATGAAGGGAAGAGCGCTGTATGAGGAGAGGCAGCGCAAGAAGGGCGAGAAGGGCATGACGGAGGAGGTTGAGCGGATTCGCCAGGAGATGGAGAGGGAGCAGAAGAGGAGGGAGGTGGAGAGTCAGTTTGGGTTGTGAATAATTGTGTGAGCGGAGTGGTGGGAAGGATAGAGAGGGATGTGATGTTGCTAGCGCGTTCGACGTTATATACCAATCTTCAACAGATATTCATATCCTCTCCCTAATGTACAAGACATGGTTCAGATCACAATTCAGCTGATCTGGTCCGGCATCGCCACACCCAATCGAGCGGTCCCGAATCGCCGTCAATCAAGCCACCTTCCAGCGCTCTACCGAAATCCTCCGATCACCCTGGTCCAGTCCTCAAGAGGCTCCACTGCACCGAGTATAGAATAAAGAGACTAACTCGGAGATTGCTTGTTTTCGTCTACAATTCCCCACCCAATAATCATCTCAGTCCACCCGCATTCGAGCGTCTCCACTAACCACCCCTTTACCTAGGTACATATCAGCCACCCAAGAGGATGTGTTGAGCTTCACTCTCCATCCACCAACATATCGTACCTCTCTATGAGGGAGTCAGGACACGAGTACTGCTTCGACCAACTCCCCTCAAAGAACACATCCAAACCCTCGTTTCCAAACCATTCCTTCACCGCTTCCTCCGTGAAGTAACCGCTGCCTATTGGCCAGCCGGCTACCACCTGACATACGACGTGCACACGCTCCAGGCATGGCAAGTGCAAGGCACATACCTTGACATCCTGCGAGTCTAGCATGCGCTGATCAGTCTCTCGCTCCATGAGGTTGGCGAAGATCTCGCTGATCTGTATTGAAGTTACACGGGCGCAGAGTCGGTGTGCAAAGTGTGAGTATAGCCAGTACCAAGCGTCGCCGGAGAGCGTGTTGACGGTGGATTGAGCGTATATGAGTGCGGTAGCTTCGGAGCGGGTTTGTTGGCAGGTGGAGAGGAGACCTGGGAAGTCGAATTGCATAGTGAATCCGGAAGGGTCACGGGTTGGATCGCCAGGGCTTGCGTTGGTAATGGTCGCGGCGATGTGGATCTGTTCTGAGTGGCCTACGTAGGTGTAGATCTTGTTACGCAATTCGGCGGGGAGGCGGAGGAGAGGGGATGTGAGTGTGTTGGTAAGGGTGCTGGGCGTATGTGTTAGTAGGTGGATGATGGTGTTTAGTGACGGCGCAGGTGGTGGAGACGTACATTTTGGACAGGGCAGTGGCGACTTCAACAGCTGTATAAGATGGAGATGCCATTATGTGTGGGTTGGAGAATGTAGGGTGTATTGGTCTCGGCTAGTGGGTAGTTGACTGAACAAGGTGAAGGACTTAGAGGGAATAAACAGTTCACTGTGATTCGCATAACCCAGACTAGTGCAGTTAGAGCACAAATAGTGCTGCTAGCGTGATTGCCGTTCCAAGGTTGTACCACCCACTGTTCAAAATGGACAAACCCAGCATCCACTACTTACCCACCACGGAGACTACAGCCACAACCGCGACTACACCTGCAGCTCCCCAAATCAACAGCGCGATGTCCGCCATGTACGCATCCTCTTACAAACCTTGGAATCTATTAGCCTGCACTAACTAGCAACATAGTACTCAGCCCCCATCTCCCTTCCTCCGCTTACCCGCCGAACTTCGCAGCAAGATCTACACCTTCATCGGTCTCTCAACCAGCGTAGTGTTCTCCAGATTACCGAGATACTCCAAGCACCCATTCTCCCACACCATCCCTCCCTTCCTGCTCACGTGCAAACAAATCCGCAGCGAAGCCACCGCGCTCATCTACACAAACGCCACCTTTGACATTACCCGTGTCAGCGACGTCTCCTGCATCACGTGTTGCATCGAGGTAGAGAGTTGTACTACGCTGCAGATTGGCTGGGTGCATTCGAGCCTTGTCGCAGGATACGTTAACGCGAACAGAGGCAGGCCTGTTGTGCCGAATCTGAAGAGGGTGGAGGTCATGTGGGCAAGGATGAGGGGAAGTGAGAGTATCAGAGTTGCGTTGAGGGTCTGGTTCAATAAGGAGGATCTGGTGGTTGAGTTCAAGGATTCCCGGGGGATGTTGATGAATTGGTAGAGACCTGGACGTCTGTGGGAGGTTGAGATCGACGGAATTAAGTAGAGGACTCGAAGAGAGCGATCCATCTATTGTGTAATGTACTACTTAGCCAACGTCAACTACTTCAATTCGACTTTCCCTTAATTATTCAATCCTTGTAACGTCTAAAAGTCCCCTTTCCCAGCCCATCGCACATCTCACAAACTTTCCACCCCAAAACTAACCTCCAAATCCCCCTTCCCACACCAAACCTTCAGCGCCATCCTCACACTATCTTCCCACGGCCGCCTCGTTTCGCAAGGCCCAACATACACCTTCTTCAGATTCGGAAGCCGGTAGTTCGAAAACTTGAGCTCTCCGAGGTCTCTAGCATTTACAATCTCGAGTGTAATCTCGATCGCAAGACACCTCGAAATCTTAATCGAGGTGATAAAATCGCTGATCTCGTGGTTGCAGGTGCTAATTGGTGGCCACGAGCACAAGTCAAACACGTCGAAATCGAAGAGAGCGTGCTTGTATAGAAGTGGGGTGGCTTCCTGTCGGATTTGCGCCGAGGCTGAGAGGAGGCCTGGGAGTTCGAGGGTGTACTTGATGGGGGCGGTGTTGGCGGTGTTTGTAGTTTCCAATCTGTAGGGCCGGATAATAGTCGCCAGACCAACGTAGGTGTAGACTATGTTTCGCAGTTCGGCAGGGAGACGAAGAAGGGGTGATGCTTGTTGGTTGGTGAGAGTACTAGGCGCGTCCGTTAGTGGGTGGTGTTGAGTGGATGGCGGCAGGCTTACATTTGGGACATGGCGGTGGAGGATACAACGGCTCTAGAAGAAGTTTCCATTCTTTGGACGGACGGAGAAGTAGAGTACAATAATTTTGCCCAGTGGGTAGTTGACGAAACTGGGTAGGTAATTTGAAGTGAGTGCTTCCGAGGTCGATATATCTGCAATGCGCTAGCTGCCTAGCCAAGGACTGATACTACGATCCGCTTCTCTTTTGACTAGCCAGTTCTCGTGATATATAAAGTACCCTCTTCCTGCCCGCCGCCCATTTTCTCAGTCACATAAAGATGACTTGCAGGGTATCCTTCTTACACCACACCTTCAGTTTTGTGATCACATTAACTTCCCAGTGTTGCCTCCATGGGCCAGATTCTATGTAAATTTTCTCCACGTTCGGCAGCCATTTAGTCGGGAAATGGAATCCTTCAGGTTCTCTACCATTTCGAAGAAGGTGAACGGAGCATGCAATACCAACGTCCATCTTAATTGAGGTAACGAATTCGCCGATTTCGTGGTCGCAGCTGCTGTTTAGCCAGGCACTCCCGTAACACTGACTAAAATCGAAGAGCGCTGATCTGCATAGTAGTGAGGTAGCTTCGTGTCGGATTTGTTTGCAGGCCTCAAGTTGTTCTGGAAGCTGGAACCTGAACCTGAGAGACTCTTCCGATTGAATGGCTTTGATGATAGTAGAGAGACCGATGTAAGCGTAGATCTTGTTGCGCAGCTCAGCGGGCAGGCGGAGAAGCGGAGACTCGAGCTGGTTTCTGAGATTGCTTGGTTCGGATGTTAGTACGTGCGACTGGGTGAGAGACAGCGAGCTTACATGCTGATTCAGTTTTGGGGCTCTTGTGATCTTGATGATGGCGGCGAGGCTGGCGTAGGCGTAGATTCTGTTGCGGATCTCGGCGGGGAGGCGAACGAATGGTGACTTTCGCTGGTTTCTGAGCGTACTAGCTAGGACGTTAGTTCTTGTGAGCGTGCGGCTGAGAGGCGGTTGGCTTACATTTGTGACATTGCGCTTTCATACGACGAAGCCGCGGGTGGATGTAGGCTCGCCATGGTTGGTATCGTGGGTATCGTGTAGAGAGATGGTGTTTGTACTTAACTAAGACCAAAAGCGACGGCAGGCGAAGTCAAAGTATGAGGCGTCTCGGTAATTGAGGTGAGAGTGAGCTTTATTGATTGTTGTATTGGAGTGGACGAAATGACTGTCTAGCGCCTGTTCATTTTGGGTAGCAGCAAACGCTATGACGTACGCGTCGCGCTCTCACCTAACAGAACCCTTCCCATACCCTTACCCAGCTTTCTCAAAGATGATTTCAAGATCCTGGTTCCTAGTGCAAGCTCGCAGGTTATGACGTATGAGATAAGTCATATGCGATCCCATGGGTGAAGCCAATACGTATACTCGCTTCAAAGCCGGAAAGGCTGGACGCTCCAGCTTCCACAGCTCATCCACACCCGTATCGTGCATGCGAACGGATGTCATAAGATGATAAACCGGTAGCCTCGAGATCCGCTTGATCCACGAATGATCCTTCTCGGAGACCCTGTAGGTCACATGGTCGAAGAACATCGCACGGGCTTCATAGCGGAGCTGGGAACAGGTTGACATGAGGGCTGTGAATCTTTCGTACGTGTACTTACTCCAGCGGTATATACGGATGTACATACTGCTGAATGTGTACACGTAGATCATGTTGCGGATCTCGCCTGGAAGTCGGAGAAGCGGAGAGTGAAGCTGGTTTCGAGTCGTACTGGATAGATTGTGAGCGAGTGCGGCTGATTATTTGCGTGGGAAATGGCTAAATTACATGTCTGACACGGCGCTGCTGTGTCGCATGGCTGGGGGCGAGGCCGTGTCTTCGAGGCTGAGGATTGCGATCTTTCTTATTTGATGAGGAGTACCTTTGCGTATTTGGCGGTTCAATATCGTGTGAGTAGAGGAAGCAGATAGGTTGATTTTGGTATATGGAAAGCGGGTGGTAGAAGGAAGTAGGTTGAAGGCTTTGGGTGTGATTCAGTGAATTAGCACAGAAGGACTGACTGCTACCTCGTTTCCATCGCAGAGCTTTGATCATGACGTATCAATACCCTCGTCATTCCCGTATGCGGAGCTCGCCCTTACAATGATCTCTAGAACGCTGAGCTGGGGGCCACTTGCAAGTCCGCATTTCCCGCCCAAGTTCGTAGCGCGTCAACCCCCAAACTATCCTTTGGCATGCGCGATTTACTCCAACCAGCGACATACACTCGCTCCAATTCCGGGAAGAGTTTAGCTCCCTGTCGTTCCGCTACAAACTGCTCATCCTCCCGTAGGAGCCTTGTAATCCGCTGCGATCGTAGATGGATGGAAGTGACGAGCCGGAAGTCCGCGTGTGGAAGCGTCTGTGGGAACTCCGAGAACAGGAGCGCCCTCAAATCGAGAGTCACATGCGTGAAGAAGATGGCGTGGGCTTCATGGCGCATCTGAGAACAGGTGGATATGATGGCTGTGGACTTGCGGGCTCGAGGACTGTTGTTGAAGACGGCCTGAGTGCGGGAACACGCGTACGCGTAGATCTTGTTGCGTATCTCTCCTGGCAGCCGCAAGAGAGGTGAGTTGACCTGGTTCTTTAGGGTGCTGGATACATGTTAGCAGATGCCCGTCGTCTCGAGAGGGTTGAATGGTCAAAGTACTTACATCCCGCGAGCTTCTTTGGAAGTGAGCACGCGACGCTGACGTGATGTGACTGTCTGTCGTGACATGTTGCTATGCGGGGTCAGGACCGAAGCCTAGGAAGTTGTTCAATGGTGCAGAACGCTTACCCAGTTACGTGTGTTTAAGGATTTGTGGTCTACACCAACCAGTCAGGGTAGTTGCTCGCGAGACTGTATGAGCTGATGGTTTACCGAGAACAATCTGTGGGAAGACAAGAGAGGAGGACTAGTTTCGGCGATCAGGGTGCTTTATATACAGAGGGTACGTGCGGGAGTGGCTGCAAAACTGGGATTAGACCCTCAAGATCACGCGCCGGATTATCACGTGCATAGCGCCGAGGATATTTCTTGATCCAGTTCTAATGTGTTGCTATAGACGACACTATGTATGTCCATCAGAACTTCTGGAACGTTCTCAGGGACATGCGCTCCCAACTTGTCTGCAATCGCTTCCTCATGAATTTAGGTATCCAGCTACGTAGGTACTCATGAGTAAAGGAAACTAAATTGGGAAAGAATGCGCTAGCAGCGACGAGTCCCAGGTTGCCTCGAAGAATTTTGCATCTTCAGGAGCCAATATGGATCTGTAATCTCCTCATCGGTGACCTGTAGGTTCGGCTTTCCAAATATTCCTCGTAGCGCATCGATGGTTACATCATTCGCCCTAATGGGTTGCTTCAAAAGGACCCTCTCAACCCCAGGTAGATCAGGTTTAGCCCTTCTACCAGATATGAATTCATGAGCCTTCCGTATTGCAGTGGTGAGATAACCACCGTCCATATACAGCGAGGTAATGAGGTTGCGATATCTGGGGTTGAGGCTTACATGAGCTGCCCACCCTCCAAATCCAGACAACTCGAACGTCGCATGGGTATACAAGAGTGCGATGGCCTCGCAGTAGATTTGTTTGCAGGTGAGGAGGAAGGTTTCGCTGAAGAAACACGACCTTTCGGAGACTTCTGGGCGCTTCCCGTGCTTGACTGTAGTGGGTCGGCACACGTATGTGTAGATGTGATTGCGGATCTCGCCAGGTAGACGAAGTAGGGGCGAGTTGAGCTGGTTTGCTGTGGCACTGCTTCGATCAGCTAGTGTATTGTGGATGAAGTAAGCGCTCTATTCAGCGGCTTACATCTTTTCAGATTCCTCAGGCGAAGTTGCACGCTTGAGCAATCCCTCCCACTCTTTGTAGGCCTTCTCGCGGTCCAAGAAGGCTGTCGTCATATCGTGGACTCGGGTATTGGATTGGGTTTGAGAATTCGATGGAAGGACTCGGTGTAGATTTGTTGCAAACACATTGTTGTGGCCGATTCACAAGACAATTGCCTTCTCTAAATAGTTGTAGGCCCAGGCTAGGCAGCTGTGAGGTTAGCTTGGAGTCACGTGTGGGTTCAGAGTGCATAGCCCTGGAGGACCCTGAAAATAGATCAGATCTCGATGGCGTAGCAGGGTCGGTGAGATTTTGAAAAGATGGATGTCTTATAACGTTCTTGAGTATTCGATCTAATATGTACATTAAACAGAAACCGCGTACTTTACACTCGGTCGGCCCTACCACATCTAAGCCTTGGGGCCGTGGGGCTTCTTCATGTAGGTTGGCTCGAGAGCCGGCTCAGCGTTCTTGACCAGCATCTGCACGTACTCGTCGAACCAAGCACCAGCAGCCGGTGCCCCAGTAAGACCGCACTTTCCGTCACTCTCACCACCAGGCTTGATCCAGACAAGAGAGTCGACGTTGGTGTTGTTCTGCTTGGAGCCAGGTAGAGGACCGAATCCAGCAGGTTCGACGTTGCACCACTCACCCCACTCCTCACGAGCACCGGGAAGAGCGACGCGGCCCTGGTCGATGATGAAGTGGGATGGCAGACCCTCAGCCTCGAGGTAAGGAGCGAGCGATGTGGCGTAGTGACTCTCGTCCCAGGATGGCGAGTACTCGGTGTAGTTCTCGCGGACCTTGGCTTGGAAGGAGTTGTAGTTGGATACGTTGGTGGAGAAACCCCGGATCTTAGCCATGGGGTTGAGCTTCTTCGCCATGGCAACAACCCTGCCGAAGACCTCAGCAGTTGGTTTCAGGTTGTCTGCCCAACCGAGCCAGCCGCCGTGCGCAGCATCGATGTACAGATGTACGTTGGGGTACTGCAGCTTGGATATCGCGTACGCAATACCCTCCTCGTAGATTGGAGTGGCGTTGGCGCAGAAAGGAACGCCCTGGTTGGTGACGGCGTTGCCCAGACTGTCGGGCTCAAGAACGATGGCGAAGTCGAGATCCCTGGCCTCAGAAACAAGCGTGGCGTACTTGTCGACAAACTCCTTCTTGTAGATCTGAAGACCATTGTTGGCGGAGCTGAGCTCACCGGCAGACTCGCCGGCAGAGCAATCACGGTCGGGCAGATTGTACAGAACTAGTCCGACGATCATCTTCTTTGGACCCTTCTTTTGTTGACGAGCCTCCTTGATGGCTTGGGGAATGAGGCTGAGACCATCGCGTGTAGTGACCCAAGTGAAAGTCGAGATCTTCTGGGCGACTGTGCGAGTGCGCGCCGCATTGAGAGTGTCGTTCTGGGCAGTGAAGGCTGCAATGGTCTGGTCGAGCTTCTTGCCGTAGCTTTGAACAACATAGCGGTCTTTGCCAGTCCAAGGGTTGACGTTGGGGCCTGGGGGTGGCTTAGGAGCTGCGGACGCAGCACCGGCGAGGGCGGCAGTTGCCAAAACGAACTGTGTGAGTTGTACCATGATGAAACGAGAGGCTTGGAATTGACTCGAGGTGGTGATAAATCGTACGGTGGACTAGCTGGGGCTTTTATAGAACGCCATGAGGATGGGCGCCGCGGAAAAGACCCATCCAATCATCCTTTTCTCTTTCAGCAGGCTTGGTACAGGCTTGCCCTTACGTTCACGTGGCTGTATTTAGACTTAGTCAACGGTACCGTCGGCCCGTTGTACATTCTAACAGCACTCAAGACGGTCCAAGTCCTTGGTGAAAAAGCATTGACATCTCGCATACAAAGCGCCACGGCGGCGTTGCTGTAGTGCTTCATCGAAGGCGTAGTGTGCGCTTATTTTGGCGAATGTAAGGAACGGTCGTTCGCCCCTAGATTGGTATGTAGTCCTGTTAACAGTAGATTAGCCAAGGTAAAGTCTACCGGGGCTGTTGCGGGTAGTCAATATATCTGAGCTGTTTACCCGGCTTCTACCCCAGCTTCGTTGAAACATCGACCCCGCAATCCGGCTCGTGATATTGCAGTCCCGGAAAGCGCCCTGCAGATTGGTTGGGGTGGTCAAGCTAACGCTGTGTATATTGCGCATAGAGTACTGTGGGGATCTTGTGTCATTTCGGACTGCAGCTCGCCATCTGCAGACACTGTACAGAAGATTCGTTGCGTCTTCTAGCGCGACTGTGAGCGGCTGTACCCTGAGGCTGAGTTGGATGTAGATGCTGCACGCACGATGCTGGACCTCCAACACAGAATAGATGTCGAAAGTGATATCGCGCAGAGATGAGACGATCGCGCAGATTGAAAGCCCTGTAGCATAGAAACATGTAGGTGAATCTCCTTGCACATGGATGCGCGCCCTACGTGGGATACATGATAACGGCCGTAGGACGACACAGTCAATTATCTGATCGCATATTGTCCTCCAGACGTCCCGAGATCTGACTGAAGGCGTGTTTTGCGGATGGAGCGCGAGAAGGCACGAAAATGATGGTGCTGTGCGACGCGTGTGGCGTGCATGACAGTCGAGGTCGAGCAGAGCACCTCTCAAAGTACAACGTGTCGGAAATCTCAGGAACGCAGTAGTCACGTAGTCGCTCGCGTCGGTTGAGTCGAAATGGAGTGCAGTCGGACGCGTGATATTGCGCAGTGAACGCGACGCGGGTGCCAGAGCGGGAAGCTGATTGCTTTGCCGTTAGCGTCTTGGCAGTGACTGTAGCCTCTCCAAGGTTGTCCCATAATCCTTTCAAGCTCGCTACTATGCCTAACGCTACAACTCATCACTTTATTGGGAAATATTCAGCGCTGTGTATGCCCGTCAACTTGACTGCGAACATACATAAATGTGTGGAGCTCACCGCTCTTACCATCCACGCAAAGCCAACCTTGGAACACATCACCAGAGAATCCACGACGTGGTCAATCATCATGTGGCGAGCGTTTCAGCTTGCATTCCCTCGCCTTGCACACTGTTCGCAACTGCGCAGTGGTTCAAACAATCCCACCAAGGGTGACTAGAACGCGTGTCGCATTCTTGAAATCATGTGCAAAGTAGAGCTATGCGTTGTCTTGCTAACTTCTTACTGATAAAGATCGAATGTATGTATGCGACGCGAATGGGAGCGAATCAAGTAGCAAGGTGGCGGTGGTTCACCTTTCGCACCTTTGCAACATTGAGCCGCTGCTAGTAGCTGAGAAGTATAGACTACGGCATGCGCAGAATAAATGGTGTCCAGCTTAAACATTCACGAGTAACATCAACTGGGCGATCAAAACCTAGGGGCAAAAATGTACATTGAATCGAACCTAGTCTACAAACTATTCATAAGGAGTGCCATGTCGTCGTATCGTATCATGTTGTTATTACAAAGGAAGGGCTCGTCTCAGCGACGATGAAGAAGAAGTAGGTGGTGTTCACATCCGACACACCTTTTAGACTCACTTGCTGATGATTCATGATCAAAACAAGGTCTCAGCCACCAACGCTAACAATCTAGCACTGGCGGACGTACATGCCAAGGGGGCTTGGGTTGTAGTCCTGGAAGTAATCCATGGAGAAGTCGCCGCTGCCGCAGATCATGTAGGTGACGGTCTTGCCAGCCTCGCAGTCACCAGTCTCGACGGGGTAGGTGTTGCCGGGAGTCATCTCCATGGAGGCAACGTCCTTCTCCTTGGCGGGCATGTTCTTGTAGGTGGTCATTGCATCGGCAGGGCCCTTGAGCTTGCTGATGGTGCACTTTCCGTGGCCAGACATGGTGTAGTCGGAGGTCTCGAGGTCCTCCTTCTTGGGAAGCATGAACATGGCTGAGCACTTCTTGCCAGCCATGGAGGCGGGGATGTCGAAGTTGAAGATGGTGCAAGTGTGGTTATCAACCATGCCATTGTAGGAGGTGTCGTGGGCCTTGTCGGGCTGCTCGGAGTCGACAGGTACGATGAGGTGGGGGTACTCGTAGTTGCCGTTGAGGTCCTGGGGGCATGAGCCCTCACCGCCGTTGTTAACGCCGTCGTCGGGGTTCTCTGGTGTTTCAGCGGGCTTGCTTCCTGCTGGGGGAGCGGGCATGGTCGCGGAAGCAGCGGGATAGGTCTCGGCAGGAGGAGCGGGATGAGTCTCAGCGGGAGGGGCTGGCTTGGTCTCAGCGGGAGCGGGGTTGGTTCCAGCGGGAGGAGCAGCAGGCGCAGTGACAGTGACGGTCACGACGCTGGGAACGCACTCGGACTCTTGAGGGACACCAGGTGCGGGCTGGGAGGGCTTCTGGCCTTCAGACATGGCGGGGTAGCCTGGCTTGCCTGATTGCTGAGGCTTTCCAGGTTGGTCGGGGTACTCGGGCATGCCAGAAGGCATACCAGGCATACCGGAAGGCTTTCCAGGCATATCAGAAGGCTTTCCAGCAGGAGGTGTACCGGCGGGTGGTGTACCAGCAGGAGGTGTGCCAGCAGGTGTGCCAGCAGGATATGTGCCAGCAGGAGGTGTTCCAGCAGGTACAGTGGCGGTAGCGACAGGAGGTGTGCCAGCAGGTCCAGTCGCAGTGGCTACGGGAGGTGTGCCAGCAGGCTGAGAGCCAGCGGGTTGTGTAGCGCCAGCCCCGCAAGAACCAGCGGAGCCAAGAGAGATCTCGACGCACTTCTCTTGACCAGGGGCAGGTGTTGTGTAGACATTGTACTCGCCGTTGTCGTTGACGGGGCAAGCGTAGAACTTGCCGGAGCCGTTGTATGTAACGCCACCGTTGGGACCGACCGCAAAGCCGTTGGTGGGGGTAGCACCAACATCGCACTGGAACTGGGTGGTGGGAGGAGTTAGGATGCAACCACGTCCATTGGAATCAGTGAAGCCACCGTTGCCGTCCAGGCAGTAGCAGCCGGTAGGCAGACCACCGTTACCGACACGGTTCTGGCCGTCGTCGAGTTGGCCAAGTACACCTGATGCGCCGCCTGACGCCTCAAGCTTGAAGCACTGTGTAGCCTGACGAACGACAAGGGCGTTGGCTCCGAGGCCAAACGCGATGGGAGCGAAAGCGTATCTCATATTGGAAGACTGAGCGACTGTGGGATGAGATGGAATTCGAGGATGCCTTCCAACACGTTCGAACTGGGTGCCTCTTATACTGGCCTGTGGCTCAGGGACTATGACAGCCGGTACTGCTAGAGACTCCTAGCGACTTCCAGTGTTGCGGCATCGGCTTACGTTGTTGGGATTCTAGCAGGCCTCGCGTCTGGTTCTTATCGTCATCTCGAGAACGATGATATCAGTAGACGAATGCCTGTACAAGCATTTGTGGAGACTGCTATCCAAGCCTGTAATGCTTGAGGCTTTCCGCTGCCTGGTAGTAGCCGTGTGGCCCGCGTTAACGTTCAAAAATGTCGCGCTTTCAAGTAACACCAACCGCAATGATTGGCCAGAAGTCGAAAGACGTTCTGGGAACTGTGGTTCTCGACGTACGCCAGACCAGATTTTGTGGGGTAAGATCGACAGGAACACGTTGCTCTCCCCCATGCAATTTACACAACTCGACCTCGAGAAGGATATCAACGAGAGGTATCGGTGGTGTTGTACGTTGAGACTGGTCGCAAATGTGGCTGCAACTTTGAAGTCAGCAAGATGAACTGCATCGCTATACGTGAGCTTTCCGATCTTGAGATGGCAGACGATGAGCTCTTCGAAAGTAAGACGGAGCTTGATGCGTTGCGGAGTCCGTTCCGACGGCAAGGTCGGCGTCGTCTAGAGTTAAGACTATTGGCATGAGCCTTGGCGGTGAACAACAAAGAGTAAAGTTACTTAACATAGTAACAAACCGTTGCCGAGTGTTCCGCTACGGTCGTTTGATATGCAAGATGAGCAAATAGGCGATGTGGTGCTTTTTACCCCAGACATCTGTAGACCTTGGATTCATGGGGTACGTCGGCAGCCAGACCAGCATGGGAGATCACGTGAAAGCCGCTTACCATGCTCGTAGCCTGCCCGTATGGTCTACACTAGAGACGAAAGGTTGAATTCGCGAGCAGTATGGGAGGCAGACATATCAACATGATAGTTTTCGATGCGATCCGGTTCAAAGCTGACGAGACCTGTAAACCAAGCTGGGCACTTCCATAGTCCCCGCTGCATAGCGGGAGCTGTCAAGGCTGACGGATGTTGTCTCCATTTGAAAACGGTCAAACGAATCATTCGCAAGTCGAGTACACGCTGTCGAGCTGGAAAAGCACGGCGCAATGTGGAGGCCTTTCGTCACTTTGACATGATCACATCCGAAAGCTCCAGTGTCGGCGGAATTTCACCGTGCAGAGATTGGTGGAGACTTCGCTATAGAGATCAAGCCCTTCTCCTGTACTCCTAGTGCTGAGTGGCATTTTTGATTTACCGGTTATCCCGGTGGCGCAGAAGAGTCGAAGCGACGCAGGTTCCTGGGCAGGTCTTCAGGCAGGCAGAGGTAGACTTTGCGTCTTGCGCGCGTCGTCAGATGTGGGCTGTGTTCAGCTGTTTGCTGACGCACACACGCAGAAGTACCACAGCGGGGTTATGTCGGAAAGTCGATCGTTATTTCTGGTGTTCTGGTCCACCTTAGCTGGCCCTCGGTCGTGGTAGGTTGGTGGGTCGGTCGCGCGACGTTCGCTCCTAGGGTTCGTCTCAAGGGGTCTGGATGCTGAAGCTCCGCAGGGAGTACGCCTGTGCCATCAGGAACGGCGTGAGAAGATTTCGAGCCCTACGGCATGGAGGCGATGGTCATTGGACGCTGCGGCGAACGCGTCGTACGCAAAGGGGGTTTGGAGGTTGGGATGGTATCCTGTCGCGACCTGGTTTTCGCGTTACGTCACTTGTGACTAATGCCCACTTAGCCTAGTGGTATCCGCGTTGGGCCGAGGACCCACTTGCCATCTCGGCTTCCGAGGCCTTCCATCAGGATACAGCACCACGACGATGCAGCCGTCCATCAAGTATCTTTGATAAAGCTGATGTGCCCTCATTCAAAACTCGCTGAAACCTTCTGCTATCCCTGTGGATTCGCCCTCCAGAACCAAGCTCATCGCTACTATACCAGCGCAGCCCCCAGCGCTTGCGAAATACCTAGGTACTACGGATGACAAGTAACTTAACAATGTCTCGCCAGACTTCTGCTCCAAGCATCTGAACGCTTAGGCACTCGCTCAACGATCGTCTCGCTGCTGCGAAGTTTGCACCTCGATCAGGCTCCGTGGGTGCAGTATACCCGGTCACCTGTAAGACAGGTAGTTGCAGATACGCGCCCACTGTTGCTCATGTGCGAACCTTTGGCAGCTTACGTACCGGGAATGACCCGCTGCAATGATTCTGTCAGCATACAGATTTTGCGCAGTCGTGTGCAAATCGAATGATGAAGAGTGAACCGATTGAGATGTACAGTCAGAGGAAGAGCTCAGTCTATGGCACTTCTAGAGTGACCGGAGGCTGCTGTTCAAACGTCGCCGCGTGTATGTGAGACCTTGTCAAATGCCAATGAGTTATGCTACCTTTATACGATGAAGTTCGCATGAGATCGCGCATCATCTTCCCCTCCAACTGTACCAAATTATCTTCGCATTTCAACACCCGATCAGCAACATTTTGATCAGACCAAAGGTTTACCATAATGATGCGGTAGGTCAATATCACTCACTGAGAAGTGGTGCAAACATCTTCGCCGAATTATGTTGGCATTAATGGGATCTAAGTGCTGTCGCATGTACAAGCCGCCTCGTCAGGGCGGATGATGTCTCTCCATTTTGGTGTCGACTAGGGTACCCAGGATCACTGATGAACGCGTAGAGACCTGCTAGACTAGGATTATGCGGAGCAGACTTCGAAGGTATTAGAACTGCGTAGGTTGTTGGATGAAAGACAATGCAGAAACAAAAGAAACCGTGGCAATGACATAAGCCATAGAAGTAGTGGTCGCGACCTTTCGCGGCTGCTTTCGGATGTCAGCACGACTTGATACGACATCTTCTGCCTCCATCAAACATAACTTATAGCATATCGCTCGCGAAGCAAGATGCAAACACGTTCGAATACAAGGGATACGCAGACGCACGTTGTAAATACACTAACTTTACTCGGATTTGTGCTGCTGCAATCGAAGAAATTGGAAATATCTGTGGCCGCTGAAGGTGAAAGATGCCGCTCGCTAGATTAGTACGCACAGTACACGGCCTTCAGATTCAGGTGGTGATGGTACATACTCTGAAGAGTGACGCGGGTATCATCAGTGACACAGCATGCGTTATGGCTGATCCTAGGTGCCGAGTGATGTAGAGCCAAAGCAAAGACTATACGTACACAGTTCTGTTGACAGGCTTCGTTACATCACCGCCCCTTACTTCACAGAGTAGGTAGTCGCTGATTTGCATGCTTCACAGCGAGCGAAAGGGTGAAACTCGTTCATTGTAAGTACCCTAGCGAAACTACTACACCATACTTCCGACCGCTATTTCCAACGTCACGAAACATTAACACACGTTGGTAACAATCATGCGTGGCTTGTTTCCCAGTCCGATGAGTGCAGATTCTAGCCCAGCTCTGAAGCCCGAATTGGCATGTGAACAAAGGCGCCAATGGGACCAACCTTTGGTCGCAGATGATGACGAGGGATCTGACACGTCAATTGCAGAGCCTGAGGATAGCGAACTGAGCGATTGGGATAGTCTCGAAATCGACGATATGGAGTACACAGACGAGGATCTAAAAGACTTTGGACGACCGGGACGACGGCGCCATGTCGGAGATCAAGATTCGTCGCTCTTCGGCAACATGCAGGAGATGAGGCATACATGCAGCCAGAGGCGTAGATGCGTTGATGAAGATGGTCGGAGTGCAGGTGGCCGAGAGAAAGTTAGTCACGAGGATCGCCAACAACGAGATAACGCAGTGGAAGCAATGAAACTTCGACTACAACGAGCGGGAAATGTTGCCATGTGTCGCAGTAGATCGCGAAGCACGTGTAATACGTGTGGGCGCAAACGACTCTGAACAAAGAGAATTAGACCCTGGATATCGTAATGAGGAGTAACTCTCGACGAAGCCGAGAAACCACTTTTGGTCGAGGAACAGGCGTCAACCTTAGAAATCTTGTAGAATCAGCCGCCGCGAACTGACCGCAATTCCCATTCCCACAAACAAACTCAGAACACATCAACACATCACGATCACTGCATCCCTTTCCAACATGCCAACAAACCCCAAACCTTGAATACCCATCCCAAGGTTCACCTGCAACCCTCCCATCTCCCATCTCCGCCTTGCCATCCCCTCGATCGACGTTGGCCACCCCCCATTCCTTGCAGATCGTTCCCTCGTCATCGCGCGCTGGTGCTCCAGAAGCGTTCCACGATACAAGTTCGCAGGGACGGGCTAATCCGTTTCCGTGTCTCAACGACCCGTTTGCAGTTAGTGGAGACCGCTCCGCGCCGGAGGATACTTTGGAAATCAGCCACTGGACTGGGAAAATCTGCGCACGGTGCGAAGCGATCATGATGGAAGACGTTTCCGTTTGTGGGTTCATCGGATAGGCGAGGTCGTTGGTACCCGCATTGCGATCGTGTTCACGGGGTAGCAATCACAAAGCTGGGCCGCAAGGCGAACAGCACTCTCCTCGATAAGTCGTAGATCCTCTGCATGTTGAGAATGGAAATTGTGATGAACGCGCATGGCGGCCTCAGCCCCCCCATAACCCACAGACTGCCAAAGGGATGAAGATCTGGAGAATTAACGTTTTCCATGACATCATTCCTGCTAGCTCAAGTCCCTTGCGCCCGCATACAGTCTAGCGCTCGCTTCTAGCCGGCGATCTGAACTCCCCCTCCCCTCCGCCAGATCTACAGCATCACGAACGCGCAGCCATTCACACTGCAGGGGCCGCCGCATCATGCACCGATGCCCCCTCCGCGGGCTGCCCCCCAAAATCCATGGATCGGGGATAAGGGTTTCATGCAGGGATTACTGATTACCGACCTGCGTGGCTTGAACGTGCTGAACACCGTGATCGTGGCCCTCGCGCAGTATCGCAAAGATGTGAG